TGCTTAAATAGTTTCTTCAAAATTAATGTGGTTGTGTTTTCTTTATTTCTTCTTCTTTTTTTTTTGCAATGAGAAGTTGATTATTGTGGTTATTGTAATTTTTTACTCTTGTTTTCTATGAGAACTAATTATTAATTCAGCTAAAGGATAAGTTGAAGATTACATGGTGAGGCTATGAGATGAAGAATTAATTTCTAATTGAACTAATTGTTAAGTTGATTTCTTTTCCACTTATTTGCATGTATTAAATTATATCATTTTTTTTATTATCCATAAGTGTTTCCACTAATTTTGTCATTGTCGTTTCTCTTTGTTTTATAGGTATTTGTTTATATTGCTATTGGGGTTATAGGTGTTCATTTGTTTCATTATTCACAGGTATTTATCTTTTTTCCTTTTGTCTTTTAATTTTTATGTATGACCTATCAAATATATTCAAATTATTTGCTTGATCTTATGAGTTGTTATTAGTGATTTTATATCCATAATTTTATGTTTCATTATTATTAATTTCATGATTTCATAGAGAAAAAATCTATCATAAGTCATAACTCATAATAAACAAACACATATTTTTCTACTAGATTTTAAGGGATGGGAAGAAGGTTGGGTTGGGCCCAACCCAAAGTTGACATTGGTTGGGTTGGGTTAGGATTGAAGGAATTTAGCTAAAGCTATGATAGGGTTGGGTTAGGGTTAGGATTGGGGGTTTAGAACATAGGGTTGGGCTAGGGTTGGCCTGAACTTGACCTAACCTGACCCAACTTGCAGCCCTAATTTGTCTTTGTCTAGACTAATTTGTAGAGAAAATGAGGAAAATAAAATGAAGGGAATTAAAGTTAGCAGGAATGCCCCTGAAATTTCACATCTATTATTTGTAGATGATGTTTTGTTGTTTGGAAAACCCACTAGAGAGGAAGCGGCAGACATAGTAGAGATTTTAATAGAATTTCAAGGATTATTAGGTTTATCTATTAATTTTTAGAAATCTGGGATTTATTTTAGTAAGATATCCCCCAAGGGAGCTAAAATGATTAGAAGACAAATGAGAATGTCTCAACTTGACAAGGATAAAAAGTCCTAGGGGTTCCTTTGATGTAAAGAAAAAACATCAATACTTGGAATTCATTTTGGAAAAAAAATGAAGGGTAAACTAAATAACTGGAGGACTTCGTCCATTTCTTTTACTAGGAAATGAGTTCTTATCAAATCAGTTTTGCAAACAATTCATTTGTACTATATGAGTGTAACTAAAATGGTGGAATGAGGGAAGGAGTAAAGACAATTCTAGTGGAATGGGGGAAGGAGTAAAAATCATCTAAAATGGGTTTCATGGGATAAACTTTAAGCTCCTAAATCTGAAGGTGGTTTGGGATTTATGAATTTAGCCATGATAAATGAAGTGGGATAAACTTTAATTTGGAGTTTTTTAATGTATCTAACTCTCTATGGGATAAGGTGTTGCAAAGTAAGTATCTTCATTGTAAGAAAATAATTCCAAGATTGGCCCCAAGATCAACCTCTCTTTTGTGAAAATCCATGGTAAATGAAATGGCTAACTTGTACTTGAGTGTTGGTTTTTAGGTGCATAATCGATCAGTCAAATGTTGGGGTTTGGGACTAACCTTGGATCTAGTCCAATGATCAATTTCAAACTCCACTAGGTCCATCAAGTAAAGAACAAAATAATTTATTAATAAGATATTTGGTATGCCAGGATACTTTGAATTGGAATCAGTAGTTGGTTACAGATTTTTTTTCATAGGAATATAACTAGCAGGGACCCATGCGATGCACGGGCTTTGTTAAAACAATTTCAGGCAATAGAGCTAGGGCGCCTAAGGGTGCAAGTTGGGTGTACCTAATTCAAAGCCCAACCCGATCCAATCAAAGCTTTTGCATTGGTTGGGTTTGAGTTTTTAAACTTTAAGATGGGCTTGAGCCAAAAAAACTTAGGCCTAAACTAAATTCAGATTGAGCTTATGTTGAGGCCTCAAGTACTGATCCGAGGCCTCAATATGCCCAAGCCCAAGCCTAGCCCGAGTAGGGATGGCAACAAAGTGGGTTCAAGGAGGGTTAGACTCTACGCGCCTAGTGGGTTGGATTTTAAGAATCCAAACCCTCCCCGCACATGAAAATGCAAAACCCTCACCGTATTCAAGGGTAGGGGTGGGTTAGGTTTAAAACCCATATCTAATTTCCTATTATTTCTTGTTATGTGAAAGCAATAAATAAGTAAAATAACATAAATAAACAAAAAAGTTTCCAATTATTTGATTAAGATGTAAAAGAACACATAAACTATCAATTATCCTTTACATCTAATTCAAAATATTATTAAATTCAACACCTAGTACATAAAGTTTATATGCTTTCCAATAATATGTAGGTTGAGGGGGTTGGGTTTAGCCTGATACCGTACCCTACTCGTAATGTATGGGTTGTAGAATCCTAAAACCCAACTTGCTCCCATCCTTTAAACAAAAAAAAAAGAAAAAGAAAAAAAAAAACCCACCCTATCAAGGTGGGTAGGGGTGGATACCCACTGGGTAGGGTAGAAATTGTCATCCTTAAGCTTAAGATGCTTAGTTAAGGTTGAGTTGGGCCTAGGTTGGTAAACTTAGGCTTAACCTTGAATTGGACCAAGCTTGAGCTTGAGGTTTGAGACTTAGGATTGGATTGACCCTCAACCCAACCCAACCCACTCAAGTTGCATAGTAGGGACTAATGCAATGCATGGGCTTTGTTAAGCGAAAGCTAAACAATAAAAGCGCATAAGAAAAGATAATTGTTTTATATTTTAACCTTTTAAATAAGGGGAAATTCCTAATTAATACCTTGTACTTCGGGCCTAGTGTCATTTTGGCCCCCGAACTTTAAAATACAACAATTCAGTACTTGGACTTTCAAAACATGTGAATCCAGTACCTATCGTTAACTAGCTATTAACCAGCTGTTAAGTAGCATTTGAAAAATACGCAAATGCCCTTCGAGTGTCATCTAATTTTCTTTATAAACCACCCAAACATTAACAAAAAATTAACAATCCCAAATCCTTGCCTCTTCTATTCAATAAAGTTTGGGTCACCAGAATGTCCATTCAAACATGACCCCAACTTTCTTGAATAGAAGAGGCAAGGATTTGTGACTCTTAATTGTTTGTCAACGTTTAGATGGTTTATAAAGAAAATTAGATGACACTCGAAGGGCATTTTTGTTTTTTTCAAATGCCATTTAACAATTGGTTAACAGTACAACTAGTTAACGGTAGGTACTGGATTGACACGTTTTGAAAGTTCAGGTACTGAATTGTTGCATTTTAAAGTTTGGGGACCAAAATGACACTAGGCCCAAAGTACAAGATACTAATTGGGAATTTTCCCTTTAAATAATTAATAATTAGTTGTATTTTATATAGTACTTTTAACAATTTTTTACAATAAAAAATAACAATAATTAATTTTAGTTAGGTTGTTCATCAAACCGATGAAACTGACCAACACAACCCAACTCGACTCGAGTTGGACGGTTTTCTAGTATTTCTAGTGGGTTTTGGTTCAGCAATTTCCCAATCTAACCAGGTCGGGTTAATTTTGGTTTGGCCATTTGTTGGTTGACAAAAACCAAACTGACCCAACCACAAACACACACACACACAATATATATATATATATATATATATATATATATATATATATATATATATATATATATATAATATGTAAAAGTGGTAAAATTAATTATATGTAATTTTTAATATGTAAAAGTTGGAAATTTGCCATATTCATTAGTCTAAAATATTTTTATATTGTAAAATTAATTAATTTATTTATTTTTTAATAATACAACTGGAATTTTTAAATTTAATTTTTTAAGTTTAAATCTTTTGAACTAACCAACCAAACCGGAAATTGATCCAAACCAATATAACCCAAGTTGGCTGGTTTTGGGTGACCAACTCCCCAACCCGACTAGTTCAATTTGGTTGGCCAAACAACTTACAACTGAACCGAACCAACCCATGAACACTCGTAATTTTTGCTAAACTAATAGTTTAATCTCTAATAAATAACAATAGTTTAATCTCCAATAATTATTGAAAAATTTTCTATTAAATAACAAAACAAAAATATATTTATACATAATTATTGAAAATATATTTATCACAAAAATACAATAAATAATTAATAAAAATACAATAAATACAAATTTTAGTATATATAAATATATAATAAATAGTGATTAAGATTTTAAAATTATTTTATAGAATTATTAATTGATATAAGTGAAATAATGTTTTTATTATTAGTACATTAATAATTGCAACTATTATTATATTTTTTAATATCTATCAAAAAAATTTTTTTGAAAGTTATTACCTATTTTTGTTTTTTGAAAGATTCAATACCTCTAAATTATTTAGTCTATTTTTCATTATTTCAATAATATTTAAAAAAATTTAAATTATTTATATTTTATATTCTTGTTATCAAATATTATTAAATTTGTTATAATTATTTTTTTGTTTTTGATAAAATTTTTAAGGTTATTACATAATTTATTTATTTAATCCATTTTATTTGTTTCTAAATAATATTTAAAATATGATTTAATTATTAATTTATTAATATTTAAAATATTTAAAATTAGTTACATAATGGAAAGATGCCACTCTTAACGATTTCCTGTTTTGTGATAACCTAAAATATTGTGAACTAGAATGGAAAGATCGTAATCTTTTGTTACATAATAATGTGCTGTTTTGGATCAGGAAATTATGGAAATTAAAAATTCCTGCTAGGTTCAAGTTGTTTTTGTGGAGACTTTTTGTGAAAATGAAATCTCAGGCGAGGTTTTCATACTTTACCGGTTTACCCTATTTATTTAGCAGAAAAGAAAATAAAGAATGAATGAAAAAAAAACCCGATTCTTTTCAAAAGGAGGATCCTCATTTTACACTTTTACCAGCTCCAGTCCAGGAGGCAACTCAGCAGGTTCGGTTCTTGATCATGTCACATATGAATTAATGCGTCAGTGTATTTAACCGCTGAATTTACATCTTATTTATATATGTATGATTATTCTGGGTCACTGTTTGATGGGAACGGAGTTATACTTTGCTACTGAAGAGTAATTGATGGAAACTCTTGTGTCACATTTGTTTTGAACTCGAGTTTTGTTCTTCCTTCTCAAATCCAGTGGGGTTTTTCTCTTTCTTGTATGAACATTTCTGTTAGGAACTAAGGATAAATATCATATATACACGAAAATAATCCTTACAGGAAAGAACACAGCACAATGGGGTACTAGTAGGGAGGTTTTTCTCGACGTGAAACGCTTTTTGTTTTGATGACATCCAACTATACACCAGGCTACCAGCCAATGAATTTGTTAGCTTGGAACTTGTGTGAAACTCAAGCAGTTATGTTCTTCTTTGAAACAGCTGTATGCCATTCACTTAGTAAGTGTAAGGATGGTGGAGATCATTTTCTTGCAGTCAATTGGCTTTGTTAGGTATGCATCCATACCCACTTCCAAGCATTTGGCTTCGTCTGATGGCATCGCATGGGCTGTCAGTGCAATGATGGGAATGTGCAAACCAGTCCCTGCCTCAAATTTCCTGATTTGTTTTGTTGCTTCATAGCCATCCATCTTTGGCATCTGGCATTATGATAATAATAGTGGGAATTAGAAGCACTAGTTTGGATTTCAACATTTATATCTAAATCTATACAACAACATATGTTAAGTCATATAGGAAACATACATGAATTTTTTACATCCAACAGTATGATAAATAGATAAGATGCAGTTGGAGGCATGGTTGAGTAAATGTACTACTTGTTTACCTGACAATCCATGAGGACCAAATCAATTTTGTGAAATTCTGGGACTTCTGCCTGAGATCTGGTTTCTCCATCCTGTATGGAAGATCCCCTTATTCCATGTCCATCTTCACTGAACATGAGTTTCAGAGTTTCCACTGCCTGCAGCCCATCTCCTACAGCCACAACAGTAGCTCCCATCTTTTCCAACATTATTGTTGCAACTCTTTGTAGTACTGGTGTATCTTCTGCGAGCAGTATACACAAACCTCCAAGAGGATTTCGTCCATTAACTACCTTACCTGAGTCCATATGATCTTCTTCTTTAGGAATGTTGCTGATTATTTGATGTTCACCACATCTTGAACTTCCACATTCAAGTTCTGTTAAAACCAATATGTTTTTTCTGCATACTAACTTCTTTGCTAAATCCTCAACGTTAGAAGTATTTTTCCCTGCTTGACATGGGAACCTTTCTTTCAATTTATTTTCTTCTAAATGGAGTTGATTTGGCTCAACTGAACTGTTGTGAACAGTCTTATAATCTGACAGACCAGGTGTTGAAATTCTTCCTCCTGGATTCTCTCCAGTTTGAGATGTGGCTTTTCTTGAGCTAACAATTCTTGCTTCAGCTGTATCAGAGTCATCTGAGCTGGCAATATCAAAATGAATGGGATCAATTTCAAAACATTCACGCAAGTCACCTGGCATTGTCAAAATTCCTGAATCATCCAAACTCTTCTGCTGCAACTCAAGATTCCTTTCTTTTATGGCAGCTTCCAGAATCTGAACCATTTTTGCTTTGTAGAGAGGTTTATTAACCATCAGTAGATGACCTTTCCTTCGGAGTTCCATTTTAACAACATTGGGGGTGTCATGGTTTAGTATCCATGCAAACTTTGCTTTCCCATGATATTTATCAAGGAACTTCAGCTGCTCATTCCATATGTCTGTACTTAGGTCAAGTATCCCTATATCAACTACTATGACAACATTTGAAGTTGTCATGGTTTGAACTTTTAACTCTTCAGGTCTGGAAGGATTACTTGTTGTATGTTCATTGGATCCGCTTTTGGGGATTACAATGCTGGCTTTGAATACTTCCTTAATATTTTGTGTTAGTTCGTTCCAGTCAGATGCTTCCCAAGTGCACACTCTTTGTTTTCTTAACCATTGAGACATTATCAATCTACCCATATTGCCATTAAGTGCAAGCAACACCTTCACTCACAATGTAAATTTATATTAGTAATTGCTCTTATGAACATGACAAGATAGATTGCAGTCAATCAAGTCAAGATGTCTTTTAAGTTTTATCTGAACTGTCACATATGAATGTCATTTATATTTTTCTATAAATGGTAAAATATATTTTACAGAGGCGCACACTATGTAAAATATCAATTATAATTACTTCAGTATTCTGTTTCTTCTTTCAAAATCTGGTCAAAGTGATGATTTACTTTAGCATATTTCTTACATATATACTAGTCAATGACCAACTTGTATTGTGTATGGGGCAACTATCCCTAAGTAATTAGTTTGGGGCCCAGCCCACTATCCATCTTTTTCTTAAAATCTGTTTCTCATATAGCCATATGGACAAACTGGTTGGTTCCTAAAACTTTATCATATGTGATAACCTAATTTTGAGCAATCCTCTCCTAGATTTTCTCCCGTGTTTAGACAATACTTCCCTTAATAAATTCTAGCTTAGATAGGAAATGAAGTTTCTAATCTCAATCTCCAAATCTTCTAAACAAATTTTGTGTCACTCAACTTGGTCCTATGGAAATTAAAAAAGACAATTATAGTTCAAAAATATTTATGTACTAGATTATTTAAATTACTCATAAATGATAAATATAATTACAATAATTTACTTGTGTATTAGATAACATGGTTGTCCTCTGCTTGTCATAGGGTCATTATCTAGTATGCCTTCGTACAATAGTAGCTTTTAAATATTAATTAGTGTATGCCCCTCTTATAGATAATAGGACTTGCCTAGATCAATACATGTTTTATTTTTCCTATTTTACTGACTGGAAAATCTAAGGAAAAAACATAAAAAATGCAAGCACAGTAAGCCACAAAACATACATTCATTAATGGCAAGTCTAAAACTCTATACTTGGTAATGCATGATGTCAAGGAGTGTATCTGAACAAGAATCAGCTTTTCCAGTATTACAAAAGGTACTCCCTGATGTAATACATATAATCAAAAATTTCACAACTTAATTGCTCAAAATTAAGAAGAAAGCAAAAAGATTGCCACTGACCATCATGCTATGTTTGGAAAAATCAATTTGATAAATTTGTCCTGTGCCATCCAAAGGTGTGCTAAGCATCAAATATAGCTGCATCAGAGTGCCTGGACCATCTTTTCTGACAACTTTGATTTCTCCACTCATCTTATTAATCTGGATCAACCGTGTTATCACAAGCAATATGGAAGGCATCAAGAATGAGATGCAGAGGACCATATTCATATATCAGTAAATGGTAAATATGAATACTTGTTTGGGATGGATGAAGTGAATAATTGTTCATAGCTTGCTATTGTGATCCATCAATTGCAGTTCAAACCAGAAAAGGGTGAGTGCAGGTATGCAAAATGTGCATAACCTGTAACTGAAGCTTCTTATGACACTCCATAACATATATTTGATAAAAATTTAAATCTAGCAAAACTGTAAGAATACTTTTCTATAAAAGAAGTTGTAAGAGTGATTCTGATTTTCAGAACTACAGTTGTTGGATGGATTAAATAGCCAAACAGGTTAAATTTTTATTCTGTGTCTCAACCCATCCTGACAAGTAATCCTCTTCTTTCATGTCTGACCATCCTTTTATTTTTCTTTTTGCCTTAACATACATAATAAATATATACTTACTACTGGAAACATTTTAACTCACCAAGGTTCGAACTATGCATAGGCCAAGACCAGTCCCACCATGCCTGAGAAAAGTACAGAACTTAAGAACAAAAAGCTATAAGCTTTATAATTTATATGTTCTATCTTCCATAAAAACATGGATTTATAGGAAGGTGTTTATATGGTTGTAAAACCAAAAGTTTACTAAATTGTGAATAAATTTTACTTTGGCGTACAATTGAGATGCATGTGCATCACTTTAGTATAGCACATGGCCCAAGAATATGACAAGACAATTCTAACTATTCCTAACCATCTGGTGTGGAGCATTTATCATGACTAATGGCCATTGGAGGTAGTTATTTAGTTAGGCTAATAGGCATATCTAATAGGAAACATCCTGATCCATATCCAATCCAAGAGTAGCCTACTAATTGGATGATCCTATCCATCATATGTGTATCATGTGCTGACCTGCAGACCTGGGTCCATGACAATGTTTCTGGACAAGAAAAAAATTCCATTGTGGGGTTATAAGATTTATGCAAAGCTGCTTACAATCTGGTTGTTGAGGGATCAGCTTGCTCAAAGCTTTCAAATACAGATTCCCATTTGCTTGGATCAATTCCTACAGAAAAAGAAACCACTAGTAATCTATTTCAAAGGTGATGATATTGTTCTTAAGCAGAGGAAAAGTTATTAGTGCTTGATTACATAGCCATAAAGTTCATACCACAGCCAGTGTCATCAAGTTCAAAACAGAGAATGACTTTTTTATCTTTCTTGAAGGTTTTCTTTGCATGGCTTCCATGTTGCTTCAATTTTGTTTTGTTTGCATAACATGATTCCTTCTGACTGAGGGGAAACTTCACAATGTTAAATGAATTCTCACACCACCCTCGCAGAATTATGTGGCCCGCTGTAAGCAATTAGAAACTGTAAATACTGCTTGTTATAACATTTTGTAAAAGAAGAGGACTATTAATTCTGTTCTGTCGTAATGCTTAGTTTCCATTAATCTTGGTTACCCTTTACATATCCTTAATATTGGTGTTTGAAAAACTTTAGGTTAATATTGCAAAAAGCACTTTACAAACAATGTTACTTGTGCAAGGGATCTTAAGCTGAAGGCTTGGTTTTAGGTGGTCCAATTGATAATACAAAGACATTCTACATAATTCTGCCCACCTATGCAAGGGTTTCAACTATTCGGTTGGTAGTCCTCAGTTAGGTGAGATGTAGGATTAGAATCATATCAATATCTACAGTAAGCGCCCATTGATGGGCAAAAATGAACCAAATTTTGGGATACTAAAAAGTTATATGGTTTAATGATATACAGAAAATGCAAGGCACTGATTGGCTGCAAACCTTAAAGTTTCTGAGTTTGTTAGTGTTGGGTTTCATGTGTGAGTGGGCAAGTACAAGAGTGGCCCATAGCCCAATAGCTTAGGCTTTTGGGTTGTAAGTGGTGTTCATCAGAGTGTGTAAGTCCTACACATGTGAAAGTGTATGGGCTTCCCGGTTATGGTGACTCCCCTCGATGCACAACGGTTAGCACCAATTGTTCAGATCTATCTTTAGGTTATCCAGATGGTATAGCATCTGGATGGAGCAGGGTATTGGACTGTCAATAAATAACATGACCAAAAATTGAGTGTGGCATGAATGCATATGGTGAGATAGATGAGTGGTAAAACTAGAAAGAATAGGGTCATAAATGAAATCATTTGAAGGAACCTAGGAGTAGCTCCAATAGGTGGTAAAATGAAAGAAAATAGGCAAAGTTGGTTTGATGACGTGCATAGAGGACCATCTACAGCACTCATAAGAAGAAGCCATCTATTGCAAGTTGAAGGGGCTAGAAGGGCTAGGGGCAGAATGAAAAGGACATGGGTTGAAGTAGTAAGAAATGACTTAAGTGTTCATAATTTAACAATGGATATGGCACTAAACAGAATGAAATGGATAAATGGGATTCATGTAGCTGACCCCATATAGTTGGGACAAGGCTAAGATGATGATGATGATCCAGATGGTATAGCATGGAAAACACTAAGATTCTGTCTCCTTAACATGGGCAGATAGGCAAAACTCATATTCTCCTTAGGTTCCATTCTCTTTTCTGTGTTAAGAGTTCCCATTAAACTTCTTAGTTGTTGAATTCCTAAGAAATTATGGCGATTTTCTCTTATATTTATTTGATTGTTAAATTAGGAATATTTTGAGAGATTGCAAATTAATCCTTAATGGCAAAGGTGCACTTACATGATGTGAACTTCATAGAATTGCTAATTAGGTTTGCAAATATTTGAACCACTCTAGCAGAGTCTCCTTGGACAAATTTTGGCATATCATCTACAAAAGAATAAGTACAAGGAAAATTATCATTAGGAATAAAATACTTTAAACCAATAATATGAGAGTTGTTAAGTAAATTGGAGTCTTTTTCATTAGTTTTTGGTGTTGGACCAAATAAGTTTCAAATGATGGAGGCAACCATACCAGAGAGATCTAGAACTGTCTCCACATTGTGGTTAATACATTGCACAGAGAACATATCCACAAGTCCTTCAAGTTCTCGCCCCAAGTCAAACTCAGCTTCTTCCAATACTAGTTTTCCAGATTCAACCTATAAAAAATTTTAATAGTGACACACTGAATTTTTTTGGTGATTACAAAAATATATCAATAGAAAATAAATTCTTATTGGTGAACTGCAATCCATTTTATGTTTCTGATAAAATACTGCATGGAATTTTAAATTGCTTTTTTTTTTATGATTGACTCGAGGTACAAAATTCTTGATAAATTCATAAACCGGGCAACTTTTAATGTTCACTCAACAAGCCACCTCATAGGCCATAATCTAAAACACAAATTTTTACCTGTCTTGCTTATACTATTACCTTGGTATTCCTTTATGCAGGTTTTACTTGTTTTCGCATATATGCTGTTTTTGTAGTTTTTCTGCATGACTTTTGTCATACATGGGATTCTAAATTTAAGAAATTAATATTGCTACAGTTTTACTGTAAAAAAAGCAGAAGATTTAAAACATAGTTTCATAAAAGGAAATTAACATAGTATATAAATATGCATGTTTTCACTCATAGAAGTACCCTTTTGTATTCTAACATCTCACCTTACTAAGGTCCAAAATGTTGTTGAGAAGCCGAAGTAGAGCATTTGAACATTTACGGATCTGGGTAACTGTTGCATATTGCTCATTTGTGAGGAAATTATCACACATAAGAATGTCTAGCAACCCAATCACTGCAGCCATAGGTGTTCGCAGCTCATGACTGTAAAGCAATCAAAGGAGACAGTTATTTTCTCCCTATAGTTATCTCCAAGGAATCTTATAGGGCATCAAATTTATTTTGTATATAGGATAAACTATCATATTCAAATTGTAGGCCTATATATCTGAAATGAAAGTAACAACGGAATACAAATTCATTTACTATTTCATGTCAAAGGAGTTGAGAAACAGGGAAATTGAATTGTGAGACTTTTTTTTTATGAGAAACCATTGATTGTATGCAAATAAAGGGAAAAAAGTCTAGTTGATCACTTTTTATTGACATATAACAATCTAAGTCAATATGCTTGCTGCATTCATGGAGTGGGCAATTTGGTTGCTTCAGGGCCAGATCATGGCTTCTACTTCTACCCGTATGAGGAAAGTTGACTGAGATGGTTTAGTTATGTGCAAATAAGATAGATAATGTACTGATAATGAGTTACTTGCGCAAATAGAAGCAGTGTTGTCAAAACTGGACTGGATTTTGACACATTTTCCATTGATTTATGAATCATAATGTTTGACTGCCCAATTTGCTCAAAGAAAAAAATCTTAAAAACAAAAAGAAATATTACATACTCATATAATCTTTTACCCTTATCCAAATCAAGCATAAAACAGTAAATATTATTTATAAGGTATAGCATCTACTAGTTAGGAAATTTGGAGAAAGTAGCACAATGTGGGATTATGGCCAAATGAAAGCAGTAGTAATTCAGAAGCTTGAATTCCTTTATGTCTGTGATGTGATACTGTGTTACTTTATATCAAACTTTTTTGTCTCTCCTATCTAAGAGAATGGTATGTGAAATATTGTAAACAGTTCCAGAACTAATAACCAGGTAATTAACAATTTTCCACGCTAAAGTGATCGGACATTTCAAAATTATATACATTGAACAATTATTTTCTTATTCTGTGAGAGCTTTTAAACGCAACAGACACCATTTGTTTAAACACCTTGGACTTGTCATTTACAAAATTCAGGATATCAAATTCAATTCTTTAATATTCTTTACCATTAATAGTAAAACATAAACTTGTTTAATCACCTCATGTTTGCTAAGAACTGGCTCTTGTAGTTGCTTGATGCCTCTGCCCTTCTTCTTGCATCAAGATGGCTTATCAGTTCTGCTCTTAGTTTCATTTCCTTTGATACTCCACTTGTTAGTATTAAAATGCAAAGGCACCCAACGAGTAGAATACAAACAGAGGCAGATATCAATATGACAAACGTCTTAAATGCTCTCTCATCCACCTTTCCCATTATGTATCTCCTAGGAATTATAATAACCCCCACCTGTACATACAGAACATATATAGCTAGTAAACACAAAAACAGAAATTGAAGTAAAACCAAAAGTAAAATGAAGAAACTTGGAAGATTATCACCTTTTCATGTCATTAAGGGTTTAACAAAGAACAAAATGAGATAATTGGCAGTTAAAACAAATTAAAACTATTCTGAGCAAAAAACTGCAATGAGGTTTGACCTTACCATAGGGAGTCTTTTTAATTTTAAGAAGAAAGAGTCAATATAATATTTCTGGTGGCCGAGCTTGGCATTCTCAACATGAATCTCATGGTTAGGAGGAAAATTGTTGCCATAGGCTCTCTGCAGCCACTGAGCTCCTAGTCTTATAATACGATCTTCTGAATCAACAGGCATCATAAGTTCAGGCCCAGATGTTGAGTTCCTCAAGAGTGGGGCATTTGTTGATGTGGCAAGTACATAACCCTCCTGAGAGGTTAGATACATGTAACCACTATGTAGTTCCATTAATTCTCTCATCAGCTGACCTACACTGTAAAGTGCTGTAGTAACACCCACAACTGCTACAATACTTTCATTAGAACGGTCCCTAACTGGCAATGCAGATGAAAGCAATGGAGAGTCTGTAAATTTGCTCACTGCAACATGCCATGAAGCTGCTCCATCTGGTACTTCCGACAGGCCTGCTATATTGATTAGATCTTCTGGTGGAACTGGTCTGGGTTCCCCTATCCTCTCACCAGTTACTGGATCTAGTGGTTCACGGTACCAAATTGCAGACATGTTGCCATACAGGGATTGATCACTCCAGCCTCGATATGATGATAGCGTGTTGAGTTTGTTTGTCCCTCTACCTGAAGAATTTACAAATTCTGAATAGATGTAGAATGTGTTGTTACTCTGGTGATCTCTGTGAAAAGCCTGGACAAAACCATTTTTGTAACTTGTAGTTATTGCATTCAGAGCCTTTCGACTTGCAAAGAGTGCCCATGTTACATTCCTCATCACTTCATACATCTGCTAAGAATCAGATTTAGTTCATATCAGTAGGAGAAAAACACTTTTAAAATGATCTTTGGATGGAATCCTTAAAGAATAAAATGAAAATGATGAACATGGAACAGAGAGATCAACCTCATCTTCCTGTTCTCGAGACATCATTCCGTCATACCGTCCAATTACATATTCAGAGAGCTTAACCTGAGCCTTGGTTATTTCAACTGTAGAATTCAAAATGTTCCACATCCGCAATATGGGACGCTGTAGAAGTTCAAAACGGAGTTCATAGGCTAAGCTGTTTATTGATTTTGTTGTATACACCCTTGTGAAATGCCATGTCAATATTGTTAGCATCCCAATTAAAATGGCTAGCATGACCTGCACAGGCAAGATGAAATGTCATTGTAGAATAAAGAGGCATCGACACCTATCCATGGTTTTGATAACCGGACCAGACCAGATGGTCGAACCATTTGACCCAGGAACTCTCATGGCTCTGGATCTAGTTTTGGACCCAAAACCATTCGACCTGGGTTCAGACTGCTTGTTCTGGGAACTGACGATCAATTAAAGCTGTTCTATTTCTGGCAAGGTTCAAAGTATCGACATGTATCAGCCCGTAACAGCCGATACGTATTATGCCGGTGGCTTCCCGATATGCCACTGGTTCAGAGAGTAGCTGAGCCTTGAACTGGCCCCTCTGAACCAATTTAAAAAAAAAAAAAGTGAAATATAAAAAAAGCACCAACACAGGCCGACCGTATTGATATTTAGAACCTTGATTTCCGGGTTGGTTTTTTCAAACCATGCACCTAACCTAACTATTCATTACTAAACATCTGTTTTTTTCCTCAACAGTTAACTGCAAAATATGAACAATTACACCCTGCATAAATATTATGATGAAATAATGTGTAAGAAAGGTAATTATACTTCTTGATTTGCTTCTCGCATGGATGGTATAGAATGGGAAACCAGTCATTGGAAGCCCGATAGCCATTGAATACGGTGTGTAATAAATATTTATATATGACATTATAATTAGAGGCATATTTTGGCCCTTTTAAGGTTGCATTTGGTATTTCTTATTTTAACAATTTATTTATTTTAGTTAAAAACTCAATATTCATAAGAACATTTTAACTGCAAAAAAAAATAAATCTTTAAAATAAGAAATGCTAAATGCACCCTAAATGCCCTTAGAGCTATTGCTTTCATGTAGATCTGCTGGACCTTAAGATGAAACCTCTACAAGGTGGCTGGTCCCGAGCCTTTCTGGGTTGGCTACCAGCCAGTTATTAATTCAAGGAGTGAGTGAGTGTTCGGTCTCGGGACCACGTGTCCAATGGGCTATTATCTTGTTTTGTTAAACTCAATGAGTCGGGTTTTGTTTAATTGGCTTGACTAGTAGGGTCCATCTGATTTGCAGTCGGAATGGTCTATTCCTATAGTGTCTGTTTGGTTTTGTCGCCGTTGCTCCAGAAAATAGTGTTACATTGGCATCATGTTGGAAAAAAATGGTGTTTTAGAAAACGGGCATTTGTTTAAAATTAAATTATTTTTTAATAAAAAATGATGCTCCAAGCCACACCTCAAAAATCCGGAAGGCATAGCTTGGAGCAACATTAAATTTGGCATTTTCTGAAGTTGCAGCTCGTTACTGCCAACAGGGCAGTGATGTGCAACTGGATAATGGGTACTAGTGTTGAAAACGTTTCCTGTAGCATTGGTATCAAACAGAAAAAGCTCTATTGCTCCAGGACATGTCTTACATGGCAGTAACGTTTTCAAATAAAAAAAGAAAACGGTGCTTCCGATGGTGCTGCATCTGCAGCATCGATGCCAAACATATACATAGTTTGTTTGATTCAGATAAGAATTTGAATGGGAATTAAAATCAACTGGAATGGGATTTATTCTCAAGGGAGGAAGAGAGAATGGTCATTCCTCGGATTACATCTAACCAAATAATTGGAATTGAAATCACCCATAATAAAAACCAAGGTTTTTAAAACCGAATCGAACAACGAACTGTTTAGGGTCCGGTTCCTAGGTCAAATGGCCTGACCATTCGAACAGAACAGATACAAAAAAAATTAAAAAATAAAGAATGGCCAAAAAACTATTGTCCAGGTTGACGGTTTGACCGTCCGAGTTAGCGGTTCGTTGATCAAATCAATGGTTTTTGGCCAAAAAACGGTTCTAGGGTGAAACAAAACTGGTCAGGTGACCGGTTACCGGTTTTTCTGGTCCGGTCCGGTTTTGAAAACATCGACAAAAAGATAGCATACCATGATGGCGAGACGGACGACGAAAACACTGTAGTAGGATGACAGGCAATGCGCACTACTTGTATATTGAAATTCTTCTTCCTCGACCTCTCCCTGGAGAATTCTTCTCCGACGTGGGATACTGTTTTCGTTCTCCCCAGGGATGAACCCAAAGAACCTGTTAAAGAGCCTTCTCGGTCCCAGAACCATTGGTTTACTCAGAACTGACAAGGACTCAAAGCTCACTGACGGAATTCTTTGTTCTTTGCCCGCCATTGATTCTATCTGCTCGACAGGCTTACTTTGGAGGAGTGGAGTGAAGGCAATGAAGAAGAAAGTTGAAACAGCAGTTATATCCTTATGCTTATAGAGATGCTTAATATCTTATGTATATATAGAAAGGAAGAAGTATCTTACATGACCGTGACAGGATATTTGGCTCTCAGTGTGAGGATATGGAATAAAGAGAAATGAAACCATGTAGCTGTAGCCTGTATGGACGACATGAGATAAATATTTGTTATTTGTTGGAGAGCATATGTGGGTTGATTCAAAATCCAATTTTGAACTTGTATAAAGCATTTAGTGATTTAATTCATGAAGATATTTCTTTCATCTAACCTTTGAGGTTGAGGAGATGACCAATCTCGGTATGCTATAATGGCGAATGGTGATCACTGATCACTTCAAATCCAAAATTAAAATCACAAAGATGTAGGCGTGCTACCATCTTCCTTCACACTTTTTATCCTCAAGAAGCCAGGTTGTCTGGTTCCACCTCATTAATCCACCATGGATTCCGGGTGCATCGTTGCTCCCATCACACCACTTACTCAAGCTTTAAGAGATATAGAATATAAGCGCTTCTACTTTATATACTTAGTGCTCAACTCAACTTTTTACCTAAAAAAGGATCGACTTTGGATTTTGCAAATTACATGTTTTGAGACCCTGCCAATCCATGCTAACAATGTTAATTTCTAGCTGGCAGTAAATGGTAAAATCTGGACCCATCTAATCTGTATATAAGGTATGGCAATTCTCTCATTAGAGATTCGTCGACTTCACCTAACAGCTTAAGATTTTAGGTTGAATTTTAAAATCAGAGTCTGTTTGATTAAGTGGTTTAGCATTCAATCCTTATAGCTTCCTTAAGGTATGGAAATTCTCTGCAGCTTCATGTAACAGCTTAAGCTTTTAGGTGAATATCGAAATCATTAGAGTCTGTTCGACTAAGTGGTGTAGTGTTTAATCCTTATAGCCTCCATTATAATTAATTACATTGATGCATAAGGTATGGACAGACTTGAAATTGTCTATGCTTCAAGGTATGAATGAGCCTTTACACGAGGGCATATGTTAGAGAGTAAAAACCTATTCAGGACCTCACCTAACAGCTCAAGCTTTTAGGTTGAGTCGTTCCTTGGGAGTTCTTCTGACTGGAAAATTATGTGCAACCCAAATCTGGCTTAAATGATTATGGAGTCCGGAAGAACCAAAAAGGTTTGATTGTAAGGACAGGAATAGACTGGACTGGTCAAACCAACATGAATCTGACCCCACTTATGAAATAAGGCCAGACCAAACTGGAAGGACTGAATCGGTTTAGTCGGGTTGGACCAATAGCCAGCAGACTAACCACACTTATGGGAGAAAAAGGAATTGTCTAGGCATGGATGGGTGGTGCTGGAAGTTGGACTTGGTTTATGAACAGAGCCTAGCCGGCCCATCAAAATCATTGTTGCATGTACAAATTGGGTTTGGCTCCCGAACCGGGGAAAGATCCGGTTGGTTTAGTCTGAATTGTTCCAACTTTTACTGTAAAAGGGGATAATAAATATGACTACCAAACCCCATAAAATTATAGTTTCACATAGTCATAAAGGTGTTCAAGCTGATTCGATTTCGATATTCCTTCTTTTAACGATAGCGATGCTCACTAGGAACCATTTGCCATTATAAAATTCTGTATTCCTGCAGCCATGCCATGCTATTCCATCAAACGACGGATTTGTTCCTTAGACTAGGGGTGAGAAAAAAAATATTGAAAAATCAAATCGACGGAAATCAAACCAAAAATTCGGTTAAACAAATTGGTTGGTTCGGTTTTGGTTTAGTATTTTAAAAATCAAAGATACCAGTTTAGTTTCGGTTAGCCAAAATAGAAAATCGGCAGTTAATTAAACCGATCGGTGTATATATATATATTTTATGTATATTTATATATATTATATATATATTTCATATTTTCTATACATTATAAATTAATATATGTGCATTATATATAAATATATTATAATATATAATATATTATTTAAAATATAATATTATATATATTTATAATATTTTATTATATATTTATATATTTTTCTATAATAAATAATAAAAAACCGAAAAATTGATGAACTGATCAGATGGTTAACCGAACCGATCAACCGGTTAACCAATCAGCTTCAATTCGGTTTCAGTCACTGATTTTCCAAAAACTGATAACCCCAATTCAATTTCAAAAATTAACACCGAACTGTGGGCACCCCTACCTTAGATAGTGGGCCATGGGCTCGGCCCACTTTAAGAGCCAATTACATTATTGCATTTGTTGATATTCAAAAATCCCAATCCCACGGTCAATTGTTGTGGTTTATGTCCACACACGAGACCCGTTGCAAATCATGCTCACTCAAACTAGGTGAAGGAATGATGGGACCAATGAAGAGGTTTTATTAGATAGAAAGTAGCCTAAGGAGTTGTTCTCTTTCCTCACAACTCTAGCTCATCAAAAACGATGACAAATGGGCCTTGATATATTGGGAGAGCTCATCAACCCAGAGTAGGAAACCCATGAAATGGAACCATTTTGAATTTTTGATAGCTACATACATTGACTCAGTAAGTGCCAAGTGAAAGATTCTAAGTAATGCAGACAAATGACAAATTCTGCGAAGTGACTCACCTTATCTTTCTCTATCAAAAAAATCTTTGGTTGTCAAAATCGAATCTCACAAGGATAGCGAGTGAATTAAAAAAAAAAACCAGATCGCCCATATTTCTCATAGATTACGTGGCTTTGTTATCTACCGTTGAAAAGGATTATTCTCTCCTTTCGGTTGATTATAGTACAGACTGACTGAACAAGAGAATAATCATCCAATCTATTCCTTGGTGGACCTACTAATGGACTCATCAGAGGAGCCTATGCCTTGGTGCACCTGTTACATCAACTGAGCTTAAACCCAACAGAAGCCCAAAATGAAGCTGCATGAAGTTGGATAAAAATCGTCAAAGTGTTTTCCAAAACTCTAATTTCATAAAGCGTAGTATCTGTGTTTGCATATTGGGCTTGGGCTGAGACAGACCCAACCTACCATATAAGAGGCCTTAAGATCTATCTAGGTCACCGTCAACTGGGTAATTCCTCGAGCGTTCGACAGCCTTATCATCAAGCTTTCAAGCTCACCTGAGACCTAGTCATAGTCCGCAATTTGATTTCAAATTTTGATTCTGCCTTGGTCTTGTAAACAATTTATAATCCAGGAGAAACCGAAAAGGATGATTATTGAGAAGATTAAGGTGTTGTTTGGTACCATTGTTCTGAAACTTTTGGGATGATTAATACAAATTGATGAAAAATATGTGTTAAAGAGTAAAAATGTTGTATAAGACTCATCATTTGACGATTATGATTGAAACATTAAATTGATGCTTTAGGTGAAAACAACAATTTGTTTGGATATATGTAAAACGTTTCAGCTAGAAACAGCAACTTTGCCAACCACAACCTTAATCAACGGGGTAGATGAAGCGGGAGGATGAGTCTGGAGCACCGTGCACTCAACTTTTAATCAAATGCGATGGAGAGAAATTTCTTTAAGGCAGCCATAAAGACCCGCAACTGTCTTAGGTCTGACCACGTAAAACAACTTTGTTTATTACTAGTGGGCTCCGTTTGATCCATAGGAAAAATATGTAAGGGCTTATAGGCTTACAACTTATACATCCCAGGGGTAGGGATGCAATTTTTCCTATCCCCGTTGTGTACCTGGCCTCCCCGACCAGGCGGAGATGGGGATCGAGACTGCCTTAGCGGGGATAGAGGACGGAGAGTGAAGCCCATGCCCCGCTCTGGCTCCGATTATATATATTAAATATATATATATTATTCATATTTTATATATCAAAATATTATTTATATTTTAATTATTATTTTTGTTTTAAATAAATATCTTTCTGTAAACAAATTTTAAATTAAAAAATAGTTAGGGATTTAGGTTCTCGATAGGGAACTTGTCTCCATCGGGGGCAAGGGATGGATGCTAAATTTTTTCTCTACAGGAGATTAATTTAAAACTTGGGGTCAAGGACAGGGAGTATGATCCTTGCCTTGAACCCGCTCATTTCCATTCCTACCCGGGGGTCATCCCCCCAACCCATAAATATAGTTCCAATAATTATGATCATTAATAATCAGAGCTGTAAATTTGGTCATGCCGCCCGTGTCCCAGCACAAAATTGAGCCAGCCTGGCGTGACAATATGTGGGCCATGCTGGGCATGTTACAATGGAATGGGCCGTGTTAGGCTTAGGATTTCAGGTCCATGGGCCTACATGACATGTTATGACTGAGCGGGCTGTGCCACCCGTAGCCTGCGTGCCAGCATAGCCCAACATAGCCCATATATATAATTTTGTTTTCAATTTTATTATACTACTTTATTTAATTATTGTATATAAACAATTGTATAAATCAAAATTCATATAAAGTAAAAATTTAAACATTTCAATTTTTTAAATAAACCTCTCATAGCTTGGCCCAATTCGCGGCCCGACTTGGCCCATGGCTGAGCCCACGAACTAGCCCAACTTGCGGCATGACATGGGTCCGCACGTGCTCGGGCCGGGCCGACCCCCAAATTATCACAGGGGAGGGAGGCATGACCTGCACTCTGTGTGTGCCGCATGCGAGTAGTATCGTGCCGACCCAACACAGTCTGATTTACACCTAATAATAATTATGAAAATTATTAAAAATTTCCAAATATTTATTTGAATAATTAGAAGTTTTATAATTTGACTTTCACTAAATTAAATTACCAAAATCAGTAATTTTTAGTAATTAAATTATTGATATCACTATTTATTGCTCAACAATTATAGTAAATATCAAAATTACTAAAATTGTAAAAAAATAATTTATATTTATTGAAATTAATTTTCCATTGACCAAAATTACTGATAATATCATTAAATATTAACAAATTGACCAAAATTACTGAAAATATCAATAACTAATTATTGCTAAAAAAGTACTAATAATATCAAAATTATTGAAAATGTA